TTGCCAATTTCTGACCACTTTATTGGGTAGTTCAAATCAGTAAATGGGCAGTTTCTTGTACTCAACAGATAGAAAAAATGGAGTTCTAAAGCAATAGCTATGAGTTTGGTCAACTGGAACAATGGAATTGGCCAAAAACAGGGCTCAAAGTTGGCAAAATCGCCGAAGCATGTATGTCGCCGAGACCGCTAACTTCGCGGGAGTGTAATTCCGTGAGTTTTTGACCAAATTTCATACTTTTGGTGTCATTACCATCGGGAAAAGATTCTCTGTCATTTCACAAGAAAAAGTAATTTTTTTTTTCCAAAAATTTATCGACATAGAATGACAGTTTCAGAAAGGGGCCTGCGACAGTCAAAGGGTTAAAATATGGTGCCAGTTGCCTTTCCCTTATTCTACTGTTGTGTGAAAATGGCAGAAAAGCACCAAACATAATATACAATGGCTCGGTTGAAAACCAATGAAAATGTGGAACACCAAAAAGAGGGTGCTGAATATGCAGGGCCTTCCTGTATTTGAAAGTGATAATGAAGGCCCAGAAGAAGAAGAAAAAGACTTCAGTATTCCCAGTACATTCTAGCAGTTCTGGTGCACATTGCTGCCGCCTACCATCACTAACCTCCCCCCTCCCTCCACCATCAAATCCTGACAAGTATATACTGATGCAAATTTTTATGAATTGCTGGTCTACCATTGCTAACCCCCCCCCCCCCCACACACACAATCTTCATCAAAGCCCAACAATACTGATGCAAATTTTTATGAATCACTGGCCTTAGATAATGTAAACATTTGATGTAAAAAGAAATGCCAAGTTTCATTAGATGTGGAGGTGGAATGCTAAGGAGCAACATGCTGCAACACCTTCCACATTAGGTCATAGTGAAATGACAGGTGATGTGACCCTCCCAGTAACATCCTCTGAGCCTTCCACATCAGGCATGTGTTACATCTGTTTAGCCCTTGGAACTGGGGATGCCACTAATTCAGATGGGGATACATGTGGTGAAGTGGTTATGGCTGATAAGTGTCAACACTACAGTTTCAAGGAAAGTCACATTACTGGGGAAGATGATATCTAGACATGATCTGAATAACATATTCAAAAACATTTTGTCACATTAATGTCACTTTTCTTGCACAAATACATTCATGAGGCCTGGTCACAGACCGGGCCGCGGGGGCGTTGACCCCCGGAACTCTCTCCAGGTAATTAGGTAGCACTTGAAACTTGTGTTGGCACTTGTCAGCAAAAGCCACTTCATCAAGTGTATCACCGTCTGAATCAGTGGTATCTCCAGTTCCAAGGGTTGAACAGATGTGACATGTAGGCCTGATGTGGAAGGCTTAAAGGATGTTACTGGGAGGGTTACATCACTTGTCATTGCACTATGACCAAATGTGGAGGGTGTTGCTGCTTACCACTCTGCCTCCACATCTGCTGAATCTTATTTCTTTATACATCAAATGTACAATATGAAGATGTGTATGAGTTAGTGATGGCAGGAGGCAGTGCCACACTGCTGGCCACTACACTGCCTCCTCCACACTCACCAGCACCACTACAGAATGTACTGGGAATGCTCAGCATCTTTTTTCTTCTGGCCTTTCATTAATGTATTCAAATGATGTTTATGCTTCTTGCTGATGCCTTTGTCAACTATCTGGCATGATGCTAAATGGTATAAATTAAGTGGCAATGAGAGATGGAGCATCAGATGAGAAAATCCAGTCTCAGTGATATCCAGGAAGGCACTGACCATCTTTCCTGCCTTCATCACACACAGCTATGCCTCAGAGTTGTCATATAGTGATCAAATGCCACACAAAATAATAAAATGCACATTGTCAGGGAATATTTATAACTCAATTGTTGCATGAGCATCATAGGTGTGACATCATTATAAGTAATATATAACTGCTAATAACAAAAACAAATGTGGAAAGATAATTTTAACGCCAGACTGTTGCCAGAATTATGCTCTATTTTAAGCATTTCACTAAAGTTTGAATATTTTTCATTCATTCAGGAAGAGGCCCTCAGACTCCTCACCGAATCATTGAGGTTATTTTAAATTAAGCATTATATTATTATTATAATCATAGGCTTAGCGCTTCTTTTTTATTATAATAATAATTATTATAATCATAACTCAGCACTAAACCCACAAGGGTAATACAGCATACATTACAACAGCACAAGAATGTCTGGAACTATGCACTGTCTTCCATCATTTAATTCAAAGCAAAATATTTAATATTCTCTTAATGCTACAAGACAGCTGAAGATCTGCATATTCAAATAAATTTCTTTCCACAAGCTTAGTGAGGACCTCTTAGTATACAGTAGCCAAGCAAGCCACTGTGAGTGACTGACAAGGTACTAGCAAATATTGCTTTGTACTGATAATAATATAATAAATTGAGCACTAAACCTGAAAGGGTTTAGTGCTTAATACAGTTCTCTATTGTTTTGTAAGGCATGGAGCAATGCTATTGTAACAATTATATAAACTGCATTACCTTCACAAAATCTAAAATCAAGAAATCTTGCTAGATATTTTATCATGGTCTGCTGTTGCTTATCTAAAATTACAGATAAGGATTTGTTGTATATAGAACCAATGAACTTTGTTAACAAAGAGAAGAATTTACAAAATTTAAAATCCAGCTAAGGTTGTTGCTAAATATACTGTGCCTTCAAGAATGTAGGTTTTCTCATTTGTACACTAAACAATAATGTGGATATGTAACTGATTTATACTTGTAAGGCTGTCCCACAGTTGTCGTGCCAATCACAAATTTTACTTCTATTTTTTCATTCACATCCAATCCCAAGCATTGCTAGGTATATATTTACATTAACAGTCATTCTAGGGTCTTATTCTTCATTCTACAGAGTACCAATTAAAACAGTGAAAAGTATTCTGTACAATCTATCAACTTTAAATTTAGAAAATTGTGCTCATCAGCAAGCATAGCTAATTTATCTTAGGGTGTACTCAAACTGTTCTTTTTTTATTTGCATATGAACTGGTACACATTTTTCCCCCCACACAAAGCAAGGAGGCAGGGGAGGGTTATATGCAGCCACCCAACTTATTTTGATTATGGACAATCACAATTAATGTTTCAGTATTGAACAACATAAAAAAAAAATTACATTTGCAAAAAAATTCAGTGATGATTTTTCTATCACAAGCAAGTAGTAGATGAGGAGGAAAGTGGCAGAAGGCAGCATAACTAAAATCTTAAACAGGGAAAATAAATATTCTGAAGGGCATTAGAGTTGAAAAATTGCTACCTCAATGAGTGACCATATATAGAGTAGCTAAATAAAATTTAACTGAAAAAAAAAAAAATTAGAACTTTGGATAATTGTTTACTTCATTACTTGAATTGAATGAACTAACAAGAATATCATGAAGTCAATAATGAAAATTTACTAAAAGTAATTATCATCTGGAATAATGTCAAAACTTTGAAAGACACCACAGAATTGATTCTTAATTTCCTTGTCTTCCAGTACAGACATATGACAAATACATCACCAGGAAATGGATTCTTAGCAAATGTGTTAAGTTTTCCTTATAGTCTTCCTTGCTTAAAGGCAGTCAATACAACCAATGAGGATGCTCCATGAAACTGTACCCTCAAGAAATGAGAGTTCCCATAGGGAGCAAGACAGAAACATGTACAAGTAAAATTTAAAGTTATTAACAAGTCAAAATACTTTGAGATGTATAAGGATAGATTTTATAATTAATTTTTTCCAAGTTCTTGGTCTTCCATACTAACAGGCAAAAAAATGTGTGTTTTAGAGCTCTGACACATTTCCTAAGCAATTAGGCACCTTAGCCCCAGGTAACAACAGTAGACAGCATATTAGCATAAGTTATTCAAATTTCACTCTGTTGATTTGCTGGATTACTTCTTGCAGACTCGCCTACTTTAGTCAAAACTAAAATTAAAAAAAAATTAAAAAATAAAAAGTAATATCATGACCCACTTAGTTCATTATACACACTGTACCTGTTTGATGGATATATACTGGATTTTATTTTATTCCACTTTTATGACTGTTAATAAGCATATATTAAAAGATCTTATCATATACAATCGAACCCCAAAAAATTATTAAAGTTAAACTCTATTGAGAACCAAAAAACTTGACAGGAACCTCCAGTGCTGCTTCATTTAAATGAACCTAAGTGATTTATTATTATTATAATCAAAGAGAAGTGCTAAACATACATGAACCTAAGTGATATTACAAGTATTTCCACAAATCTTTAAAGCTTCACTGTATAGTCCTTGTGGCTTAGCGCTTCTTTTTGATTATAATAATTTAAAGCTTCAGTAGTTAAATACTGCACCCTGAGGGATTCTCATAGGAAATAGAGCGTACATTCTTCCCTTCAATAAATCCTTTGATGGTGTAAACAAGTGTAATTTTTTTTCCATATTTACAATTCCACATACAGTAGATCATCTTTCACACGTTCTTCTACCGTGTTTCTGCTAATTTATGATTAATTTTTTTTTGTATCTATTTCCACCTTTTTGATCTGAAAATTCATCAACTATTGTGATTGTTTTTTGTTTTCTATCAGTTCAGTTTTGATAGTGGAATTATAAAAATTATTTTTCTCTGTCAATTTTTACCAAATGCATTCATACTGTGTGTGCTCATTTTACACATATACTGAAAACTTGCATTCGTTTGGAAGACATGGGTCAAAAACCATAGATTTTATATTTACTTTTTTGTTGAGGTTAAATCAACATTAATTTTTCCCCCTGTTACTTTTTAACCAAGTGCATTCACAATTTGTGTATGATCACTTTGCATGTGTATAGAGCTCACATTAATTTGGAAGATATTAGTCAAAAAACCACAGATTTAATCATCAAAAACCAAGTAACTAACTGGAGATACTGCTTGCAGTTTCAAGAGATGAAGGTGGGGATGGTTCAGTGGCTGGCTGGTGCAACTGACTGCCTCACTCACTCAACTCCACACTGCCACCCTCCACCCACCTACTCTTATATACACTATTTTGCTTTTTATAGCCCTGTCGTGTCTATGGATATTAACCATAGCATAAGAAAAAAGGAATACAGTGGTACCCCGAGTTTTGAACAGCTCCCAACTCGACCAATTATGTAAGTGTATTATTGTAAGTGCTTTTGTAAGTGTATTTTTGGGGGTCTGAAATGGACTAATCTAATTTACATTATTCCTTATGGGAACAAATTCGTTCGGTAACGGCACTCAAACAGCCTTCTGAAACAAAGAAAGTTCGAAACTCGGGGTACCACTGTACTAGTAATACCAGAGGTACTAAGAGGAATAAAACTGAAAGTCTGAATGTTAAGAGAAAAACAAGAAAACTATGTGAGGGAATATTAGCCCCAGTTGTATTAACTATGACCATTTTCTCTGGAAGGAGTGCAGGCATTTTTTTTATGGAATACACAATAACAAATACATGCTTCTGTCAATAACCTTACTCAAGTTTATTAAATTATTATTATTTAGGTTTTGGGTACAGTCACGCAATTTTATTTTTACAATGGTCCTGATGGCCCCATGTTATGATCACAGAAAATACATTATGCAAATTTAACCTCCTTGGATAACTCATGCAAGTCAAACATTGTAAACATTTGAGAGTCTAAACCTCACTACATCCACCTAAGCCTAGCATGTCAACACACACCCTCTCCACACATTTCAAGATCAACAAGAAACGACATCTACAATGTAAATAATCAAAATGATTTAAAAATTAAAAAAAAATAACTCCTGGCTTTTTTTTCTGAGTGTCATAAGACATAACCCAATCATTCCCATATATTATTCACTCCATCCATCAAGTTTTCATATAGAGCTCCATTTTTCTGGAACCTACCTACTGTATATAGTCATGCACTGCATAACGATGTTTTGGTCAACGACAGACCGCATATATGACTGAGTAAAACACTTACTATGTTCCCAGTTGTATAAAAGTATAGCACGTATAATTACATACAGAACATAATGAATGATAATGATAATAAACAACTATATTACTGGTTTATGTATTTACTATACTATACTTTTCATCGTTATTCTAATGTGTACTCTTTTCTACTCATACAAAAAAAGTTTACTGTAAAACAGTATGCCGTGTTATGCCAGCAACAGCCTCATATATTTTGTGTTTTCCATGTTTCTTGACAGCATCATTTTCCCTCATGCTTTATTTAATCTCATGTCGTTTTGTTCAACACAGTCCCTGAATAAGAAAAAGAACAACCCCAAAGAAAATTCAGTGAAGGGTTTAGCAGAAGCTTTTACAAATCTCCACAAGCTCCCTAAAAAGTCTGAAAACATGGATCAAAACACAAAAAGGTTTACATTAATAGAGAGGAATGTTCATGGTGCATTATCTGCTTACAAGAAAAATCTATGATGAAAAAAAACAACCAACCATATAGCCTAAGTGTGTAGTAGGCCATACCATCTAGGTTTATGTAAGTACACTATGACGTTCACACAACAACGGAGTTGCCTAACGATGCATTTCTGAGAACACATCCCTGCGATTAAGTGATGCATGACTATTATAACCCAGACCTGCAAACATCCAAATTTACAAACAGGGCACATCTGTATATCTGCTGATATGCATATAAGAACATTACAAGCACTCAATCATGTTCTTTTCAATAAATTACTTGCTAGCTATTTTATCACCAAATGCCTTTATGTTGCATACAGTATACAGAAGGGTCCCACTTTACAGCATTTCACTTTAAGGTGTTTCGCTAATACAGCAATTTTCAATTACAGCAGACCCTCGGTTATCGGCCATAACCCATTCCAGAAGCTCGGCCTAAAACCGAAATGGCCGAAAACTGAAATAATATTTCCCATAAGAATTAATGTGAATGCTGTACAATTAATTCATTCCAGACACAATAGTATTCACAAAAAAATAATTTTTTTTAAAGATTAATTATAGTTTTACATACACAAAACAATAAGAACTAAATATAATAAATACATGAACAATTAAATCAGTATTACATACCTTTATTGAACACTCTTCTTGGTTTATGGAAGATAGGGAGGAGGGGAGAGGCTTGAGAGCCACTCTATCCCTGCAACTCACTCCACTTTGCACACACATCCTTAATCACTGAAGAAGGCACATTCTCCCCTCTCTCTTCCTCCTCCTCTGAAACAATTTCCTCAGCAATGGTCTTCTGCTGTTCCAGATGAAGGTCTTGCAGCTCTGCCCTCTACCACCATCACAACCACTACCATCCTCTACCACCATCACTACCATCCTCTACCACCATCACTACCACCCTCTACCACCATCATAATCACTACCACCTCTACCACCATCACAATCACTACCACCACCACTCTTGTACTTTGCCACAATTTCTTTCTTAAATTCCATTGTGTTTCTCACTTTCTTTACCGAAGGAACTTTACTAGGAACTTTCTTTGGGGCCATGGTTACTTATTTTGCAGTTGCACTTAATCAATAACCACCAAAAACAATGGATTATAGGAAAATGTTTGGATAAATGAGCAGAAGCTTCCTCACTCTCCCAGAGACAGCCAGACTGACGCGCAAGCGGCTGGCAGTGGTGGGCTAAAGCGTCTCACATGGCCAATAAGCAAAATAACGGCCGATAACCAGAAGCCAAAAACACAGCTGATAACCGAGCTGGCTAATAACCAAGGGTCCACTGTATGTCCATTCTTCATTTATTCATACATCCTTCAATATCTTCACTCACTATAATCTAAGGGCAAAAATATTTTAAGGTAAGTAATGTGTGTGCTGTATGTGCATTTTTAAGGCCTAGTTCTTGCTCACTTAATATTTTATAGTATAAACATGTTATCATCCTTTTATATATATCTGAGAATGAAAAGAGGCTGTTTCACTTTACAACGATTTCTGCTTTACAGCAGTACCTTGGAACCTAACCTGCTGTATAAGAGGGGCCCACTTGTACTCATTTTATGCACATGTGGAAGGTTCATATCTGCAAGCCCGACTGGTCAAGAACTGGTGATTAAATAATTTTGATTATATTAAAGCTGAATTATAGTACAGTACAGTAGTATATTCATTTTTTCTTGGTGTTTACCAAATGCACTGGTATTATATGCATATTCAGCATATGCATGTTCGTTTGGTCAAGGATGATAAGGAACTGCAAATTTAATAATTACGATTTTGTCAGAGGTGAACTTACATCTTTTTCTGTTTTTTACCATATGCATCAATTAGGTAAGACACATATGCAACAGTTAGGTATCTTTATTTCGAAACGTTTTGCCCACACAGTAGGCTTCTTCAGTCGAGTACAGAAAAGTTGATAGAAGAGACGTGAAGACGATGTAATTAGTCCATCACCCTCGAAGTTTTGAGGTGGTCAGTCCCTCAGTCTGGAGTCTGTCACTTCAACTCCATATTGTTTCAGACTATGGAACGATACTCTTCTCCAGACTGAGGGACTGACCACCTCAAAACTTCAAGGGTGATGGACTAATTACATCGTCTTCACGTCTCTTCTATCAACTTTTCTGTACTCGACTGAAGAAGCCTACTGTGTGGGCAAAACGTTTCGAAATAAAGATACCTAACTGTTGCATATGTGTCTTACCTAACAACCTGTTGGTATTTTATACCATTTTAATATCCACTCCATATGCATCAATATTCTGTACATGTTCATGATATGCATGTTTGATGAGTTCACACTGCAGACAGGTCAAGATTTGTAGATTCAATGATTATTTAACTCGGCGTATGAAGATATAAACCCATGGCATATCAATCCTAAAACTAATAAGTCAGTGCTCTAATCACAAGACCATGCCAGCCTAAGATTCACACAATAAGGTATATGTCTACATACTAGTGGTTTACGATGGGCCTCATTGTGACTACATCCAAGATTCTATGAATGAAAATTGTGCCCAGTTACACACAGTTACACGTCATGCCTGGTTAAGGGTGAATATACTTATTCATCACTAATGTCAACTTTTATAATACGTATACAATTCCTACAAATTCTACCTCACTTGATGCTTAAATTGTCTGTATCAAAACAGTTGGAAGAGGAAATAGTGTGTTTATTTCCAGACTATGCTAGACTCTTGACAGCGGGATGTTGGTTGGGGGAGAGAAATATGGAAATCATTTCATTGAGACATGCCCAGCACCTTGAAGAATTGTCAGGTCTTGTTGACAGTTAAATATTTTTTGACTTTCATGAGTATCAAAGAGCACGTAGAATTAATTTTCAACTTGTCTTCAGTGAACTCACTCTGCCTACCCTCTTATCAGAAAGCCGTACCTATGCCACAGACTATGATTTCTCAAATAAAATGACTAATGTCGAGTTTCTTCTTTAGCACATGAGCATATTGTACACTTCTCACACACCTTTCCCCCTGCAGGGAAAAGAAGTGCTTGGCACATGTTTGTGAATAAAATAATACCTATGGAATGGACTAAATATGCAGATGATGATTCACATAGGAAAGGGGCACCGATTACACTACAGCATTTAGTTCCTGCAAGTTCTTCTGTCCCATGTAATGCTCAATTAACTCCCCCACAACATCTGTAACAGCCCAATTGGAAAAAGGATATACAGTACTGGGCACATTTTTGGTCTAAACTTCATATCCACAATCCTGTGTATTATGCATTATGCTGTAATACCATATTCCCACACCTATTTCATTTTAAATATTACATGCATCATATATACTCTTAAATATATACATAGAATAAAAAACAACTACATACAAATATCACATACATTTTTTTCATTTAATGTGTATTCTACATTATTGTCATGTCTATGAATTATTCAGAAACAGATTTTTTTTTTTTTTTTAGAAAGTTCCTGGTTCCAAAGAATATAAATGTTTGGGGTTCGACTGTATTAACTTTTCCTTAATGAAAGTATGCATTTTAAGAGATTATTTATTGGAGAATCTGAGATATTAAAAGGGGTCCATGAGATTTTAAAATTATTCATAAAATTATATATAGTATATACATCTAATATCAAAGCAGATACTTTTGCTATATTTATTAATAGTTCAACTAAGTTTGCCTTGTTCAAATTTCTTGAAGACCTTGGAAGCTGTGAAGATGAAAGAATCAATGATGCCAGCAACAGTGAACGTGCCACCCACAATAGCACACACCTGCCAAGAATAGAAAAATGTAGTCAAGTAAATTAGCAATAAACCTAGTTTTAAATCAGTACCTTCTATTACCAGTGATGAATTTCTCTGAAGCAGGCTTAAAGGCAGATAAGCTACAACATGGTTATGTGAATATTACTCCTATAGCTTTCAGACTGAGCAGAGGTAGTGTAAATTATTACAATATCTTGATTATTCTCAACATGTTCTTTTTCAGTACTGAGTAAAGAAAGTCATTTTACAATAGCACAACTCTTCATGACCCCATGTGTAGTCAATAGGCTATAAACCTTATAAACTAACTTTCAATAGAACATCCAATTCTTAGCTAAAAGAGGTTATGATTATCAAAAAGATGTAGAGTTAAACTTAACAAAATATGTCAAGATATCTATGACAATACACTTATATTGCCACAATAATATTCCAAATCAGTATACCAATCTATATTGTATACATGAAAACACACTTCCTGCTTTTGAAACATTTAATGAATATATCTTCTGCACATTAAGGTTTAAATAATATGCACATACTTTCCTGGGTTTTGTCTTTATAATACGACAGACTTACAGTGGTAACAAAAGAATATATGGGTGGTCTTCTCCTGTGATATTTGACGGTGATAGGAGTCAAATCATATCTGAACCACACTGCTGGCACCACCCGACCCCCATGGCTGAACGAGACGTAACTCTAGAAGATAAAAACCAATGCATTTAAATATTAAACATGATTGAAAACAATAATATTTAAAGCTACATTTCAGTACTGTATGAATTTTTATCTATGACAACCCATGATAGCTAGAATTACCAGTCTCTGCTACACCCTTACCCTCCAAATGGTATATCAAGGAAGGCAACTAAAAACATGGCCCCTGCTGCATACATCAAAAAGCAGTCCAGTTACTCCTTTTAAGGAAAAAAAACTAAACTCTAGGTATGTATCAATTTTCCCAACAGATTTCATGTCATAGTAGCCAATTACAATCCTGAGATCCTGGATACAGAAGTTGTTTATCTTTACTAGAATAAGCAGTGAAATACAGAAAGGGAGGAGAAGGGGCATTTTTGTTATAGAAATTAAACTGGTATGTAACATCCAGCTCATTTCACTGAATGACTGCTTATGCAAATAATTTATTATACTGTGTGCAATAATTAGAAGCCTGCACTCTCTAATGTTCAAAATGTATGTGATTATGTTTCCTCTTATTAGACAATGAGAACATGTATACCTAGAGAGGGTTTCGGGGGTCAACGCCCCTGTGGCCCAGTCTGAGGCCAGGCCTCGTGGTGATCAGGGTCTGATCAACGAGGCTGTTACTAGTGGCCGCATGCAAACTGACGTACAAACCACAGCCCATCTGGTCAGGTGCTGACTTTAGGTGCCTGTCCAGTGCCTTCTTGAAAACAGCCAGGGGTCTATTGGTAATCCCCTATATGTATGCTGGGAGGCAGTTGAACAGTCTTGGGCCCCTGATACTTAACAGTGTTGTCTCTCAGTGTACTCGTGGCACCCCTGTTTTTCAATGGGGGAATGTTGTATCTCCTGCCAAGTCTTTTGCTTTCATAGGAAGTGATTTTCGAGTGCAAGTTTGGTACCAATCCCTCTAGGATTTTCCAAGTGTATACTGCCATGCATCTTTCTCACCTGCATTCCAAGGAATACAAATCAAGGGACATCAGTAATTTAGGTGTTTTATTGTGCTTGTGTGTGCCATGAAAGATCTTTGTACATTCTCCAGGTCAGCAATTTTGCCTACCTTGAAGGGAACAGTTAGTGTACAGCAGTATTCCAGCCAAGAGAGAACAAGCAGTTTGAAGAGAATCATTGGCTTGGCATCCCTACTTTTGAAGGTTCCCATTATCCACCCTATCATTTTCTAGGAAATGCGGTTGATACACTGTTGTGGTGTTTTTTGCTCTACTGTATGGTTAGAATTTGTATACCCTGATACAGTTTTAATTTCCTGAAGTTTTCCATATCTGAGTATAGTAGCCCGTCGTTTAACCCTTTGACTGTTTTGGTCGTATATATACGTCTTACGAGGTACTGTGTTTGACGTATATATACTCATAAATTCTAGCGGCGTCAAATGAAGCAGGAGAAAGCTGGTAGGCCCACATGTGAGAGAATGGGTCTGTGTGGTCAGTGTGCACCATACAAAAAAATCCTGGAGCACGCAGTGCATAATGAGAAAAAAAAAACTCCGACCGTTTTTTTTAATTAAAATGCCGACTTTGCTGTCTATTTTCGTATAGTATTTATGGTTGCATTCTCGTTTTCTTGGTCTCATTTGACAGAATGGAAAACATATTATAGAAATATGGAAATGGAGCTCAAATTAGGGGAAATGTTTGATTTTTGCCAATGTTCAAAAGTAAACAAATGATGTCATTGTCCAATAAATGTCCAACGAGCCATTCTAATATGCAGCCATGAATGGGTTGACATAATTTGTACAATTATTACAGTATTGCAGTAGTCTGCATAACAGTAAATCTTTATTTTTTGTTTAAATAAAAATTCAAAATAGAAAGCAAGAGTAATATCAGAGGGGCCTGGAGATGTGACTGATGAACAAAGAAAATGTTATTTTAGAGCCAGGAATGTCCGCATTGTTAATTCTGGACCCTATTTTGAAATTGGCATATTTTTTAATTTGCATGAAATTGGCCAAATTGCAAATTTCTGACCACATTATTGGGTAGTTGAAATAGGTAAATAGGTAGCTTCTTGTACTCAATCTATAGAACAAATGGAGCTGTAAAGAAATACACGTAACTATGAGTTTGGCTGACTGGAACAATGGAATTAGCCAAAAATAGGGCTCAAATTGGGCAAAATCGCCAATTCGTAAATATTGCCGAGGTCACTAACTTTGTGTGAGCGTAATTCCGTAAGTTTCTATCAAATTTCGTTCTTTTGGTGCCATTACCATCAGGAAAAGATTCTCAATAATTTCATAAGAACTTTTTTTTTTTATAAATTTTTCGACACGAGAAGACACCTCAGGATTTGGGGGTTTGACAGTCAAGGGGTTAACCCTTAAACGGTCCAAACGTATATATACGTTTTTTCAACATCTGAAAGTATGTAAAAAAATGTAGATCTTCTTTTTTGTTTTACATTTGAAAACGTGTAAAAAAACTTTTATATACATTTTTTTTGTTATATTTGAAAATGTGTAAAAAAAAGTAGATCTACTTTTGCAGCACTACAAATTTGAACGTCGATCTGTTTGGAGCGTTTAAGGGTTAAAAGCAGGAGGGGATATAGTTTTGGAGTGCTTGGTGCTATTATTTGATAAATGTATGGAAGAGGGTAAGGTACCTACGAATGGGCAGAGAACATGCATAGTTCCTTTGTACAGTGGACCCCCAGTTCGCGATGCTATCGGTATCCGATAAATCGGTAACCGATGCATTATATCGCAAAAATTTGCCTCGCTTCCCGATACAAAACCCGTTATGCGATGTGGTTCGTACGAGACGTGTCTGTGTGTGGCCTGAACTGCCCCGTGTGTGCCAGTGTTTACAAGCCAGCCAGTGTGCGCGCATCTAAGGATACATTCGGTACATTCCATATTATCCATATTATCACTGTTTTTGGTGCCTGTTTTTGCAAAATAAGTCACCATGGGCCCCAACAAAGCTCCCAGTGCCAACCCTTCAAGACCAAGGGCGCTAATGACTGTTGAAATGAAGAAAGAGACAATTGCAAAGTACGAAAGTGGAGTGCGTGTGTCGGAGCTGGTCAGGTTGTATAGTAAACCCCAATCAACCATCTCTACTATAGTGAGCAAGAAAACGGCAATCAAGGAAGCTGTTCTTGCAAAAGGTGCAACTGTGATTACGAAACAGTGACCGCAAGTGTTAGAAAATGTTAAGAGACTGTTATTGGTGTGGATAAATGAAAAACAGATAGCAGGAGATAGCATCTCTCAAGCAATCATTTGTGAAAAGGCTAAGCTGTTGCATGACGATTTGGTAAAAAAATTGCCTGCAACTAGTGGTGATGTGAGTGAATTTAAGGCCAGCAAAGGTTGGTTTGAAAGATTTAAGAATGGTAGTGGTATACATAGTGTGATTAGGCATGGTGAGGCTGCCAGTTCAGACCACAAAGCGGCTGAAAAATATGTGCATGAATTCAAGGAGTACATAGAGGCTGAAGGATTGAAACCTGAACAAGTGTTTAATTGTGACGAAACAGGCCTGTTTTGGAAGAAATTACCAAGCAGGACCTACATTACTCAGGAGGAAAAGGCACTCCCAGGACATAAGCCTATGAAAGACAGGCTTGCTCTGTTGATGTGTTCCAATGCTAGTGGTGATTGTAAAGTGAAGCCTTTATTGGTGTATCACTCAGAAACTCCCAGAGCATTCAGGCAAAAGAATGTCCTCAAGGCTAATTTGTGTGTGCTGTGGAGGGCAAACAGTAAGGCATGGGTCACTAGGGACTTTTTCTATGACTGGTTACACCATGCATTTGCCCCCACTGTGAAAAATTACCTAATGGAAAAGAAATTGGACCTTAAGTGCCTCCTGGTATTAGACAATGCTCCTGGTCATCCTTCAGACTTGGCAGAGTGACTTTCTGGGGACATGGGCTTCATTAAGGTCAAGTTTTTGCCTGCTAATACCACTCCTCTCCTGCAGCCCATGGACCAGCAGGTCATTTCAAACTTCGAAAAACTCTACACAAAAGCTATGTTTAAAAAGTGCTTTGAAGTGACCTCAGACAATCTACTGACTAAGAGAGTTTTGGAAAGATCACTTTAGTATTACTCAGGAAATCGTAATGACGCGATTGCAAACAAACCATACCACGGGCAGGATTTGAACCCGCGGTCAGAGTCTCAAAACTCCAGATCGTCGCGTTAGCCGTGGGTCCAAATCCCGCCCGTGGTATGGTTTGTTTGCAATCGTGTCATTACGATTTCGTGAGTCATGTTAATGACTTTGAGGGGACTTGAGCTAGAGTTCGTCACGGCCACGCTAGCTGGAGATCTGTCTGTAAAAACTTGCATATGTGGTCACAGTGGTGCCTATGCTAACCTTCCTATGGTGTAGAAATATACCTAGTTGGACAAATCTTATTGTGGCTAGCTGGTCCAGTGGCTGACGTGACGGTCTGGAATTTTGAGACTCTCTGACCATGGGTTCAACTCCCGTCCATGGTATGGTTTGATCACTTTAGTATCCTCAGTTGTGTAAACCTTATAGGTAAGGCTTGGGAGGGAGTGACTAAGGGGACCTTGAACTCTGCTTGGAAGAAACTGTGGCCACAATGTGTAGAAGAAAGGGATTTTGAAGGGTTTGGGGCTAACCCAGAGAAGCGTATGCCAGTTGTGGAATCCACTGTGGCATTGGGGAAGTCCTTAGGGTTGGAGGTTAGTAGGATGTGGAAGAGTTGGTGGAGGAGGACAATGAAGAACTAACCACTGATGAGCTGCAAGATCATCTTCAACAGCAAGAGGCCAGACCTGAGGAAACTGCTTCAGAGGAGGGGAGAGAGAAATTGAGGAAGTTGCCTACTTCAAAGATAAAGGAAATGTGTGCAAAGTGGGTTGAACTGCAAACCTTTACGGATGAAAATCACCCTGACACAGCTACTGCAAGCCGTGTTGGCAACCTGTACTATGACAATGTTATGGCCCATTTTAGGAAAGTCTTAAAGTAACGGGAGGT